TTGCAATTATTAAAAAAACAAGCACCATGTTAACCAAAAGCACTGAAGCTGAAGTAATTATCTTTTTTCCTTGAATGTTCTCTGCTGTATCATGTTGCTTTCTGGCAGCGAGACAGGCGTAACGGTTCTCTTAATTTACTAGTTAAATAAACCAACTATTACTTGAATAGTCAAAAAAAAAAAAAAGTGTTGATACCAAAGGAGCCAGATGTTTTACAGGATATCGATTTTTGTGGTGCTAACATTTATTGTAAAAATAAGGTATTACATGGGTACAATTTATGCCAAATATGTAGTGTCTAAGGAAAATAAATTGTATATTTTGGAGGTCGGGGAACCACTATGAATACATACCACAAGACCCAGCCAAAAATCTTTTTTGATCCTCTTCCCCTATCCTACCAATAGGACAAAGTATCAAAGAACATAACAGGTGCCATTATACTTGTTAACACTGTAATCTACTGCACTTGTTAAAAGTTCATGCCCATAAGACTGAAGGAAATGCAAATATTAAAGCTGACCTTTTCTGAAACAGTCTTCTGTTAGTAACAAACCTGACAATCAATACTGTTGGAGCCTTTAGCATTCCAAGAGGAAAAAAAGTCCCAGAGAGATATGTGATGCTGCAGCTCAGATGATGAGAGACTTTTCTATTCAGTTATGTTCCATACGATTTTAAACCCATATGCTTATGTATACTTAAGAAAACAGGTACAAAACCAAAGACTTATCATTTTACCTTGCTACTATCGATGACAGAATAAAATTTAAAAATAAAAATAAAGCCAGCACTTTAATGACAGTCCAATTTTAGGAAATCATTAAGAACTTTCACCCTTTTTAACCAGAGGACAATAAATGTGGTGCAAAGATGACAGGCCTTGATCTGCAGGGCACAGGTGTGAGGAAGGAAGGCCTCCTCCACAACACTCCACACAATCCCCTGTAAGCCAATCTATGAAGCAGGAAAGGTGGCTCTCTTAGAGAGGACTCTCTGTGACTCTTCCATCTCCTTTAACTTGGATACAGCATGTTGTAACAATAGCCTGACAGCAGCATGGGGTAGGGGAAAAACAAAGAGAAAGATATTTATATATATATATATATATATATATAAATAAAATTTTTACCCTATCTATCTCCTGGAGCGATGTGGTGAAGGGCAATGGAAGAAAATTCAGAATACTGCTGATCATCTTCAAAGCAAATGGACTAATTAAATTACCCCGCAAGCTATGGAGTGCAACCTATTTATATAGTTTTTGTGATTAAAAACAAACAAAACACTAAAATCAGACTGTGTAGGATTATATGTTAACATCATGACTTTGATCTTATTTGTTATTCCTGAAAGGTGAACTCTGGTTATGTTGCTAGAGAATATGTTTCACTAAATGCTTCACTAACACATTAAGTTAAACGAAACCAAACAAAGCCTCAACCCCACTTCTCTGCAGCTCTCCCACCCCACCCCACCCCAGTTAAAAACAGTAGAATCTGACATGAGACCCACTGAAGTCAGGACTGTATTCTTAAACCTCACCACCAAAATCAAGCAAGAAAAATTCAGAGATAGGAAACTGTCTTAAAGTGCAATTCTGTTGTTAAAACAACTAAGTAAAATGACACCTGCTTACCACATCTGCTTTTGGGCCAGATCTTTAGCTGGTATAAATCTGTATACTGACATTGGCTTTAATGGGACTATGCTAATTTACAGCAGCTGAAGAAGAACTAGCCCTTTCTATGCTTTTAGAATCATGTCTGCCAAGTTCAGTAACAACAAAGTTTTCACCACTTTTTACTTCTGTTAGTCCTGTAGTGCAAACACATGCAAAGAACACCATACATCAACATAAGTGTTTCCTAAATTACAATCAGTGACACCTGTGCAAACACACAAACAACAACAGTGAGGTTAATCACCAAGAACAGCATTTGGCTTGTCGATCGTGACAACACACAAAAACAAAGGAACTCAGGCTCAGTTCTCAAGGTGAGTTTGCAGTACTGGCAGTTAGGAAAAAAACAAAAAATATCTTTTCTATTATTTTTAAACTGAATATATTATACTGAAATCCTAGAGAGAGATGGACTCTCGATTATGTCATTTTTACAGAGGCAGAGTAAAGATACATTTTAATTTACCCAATATTATTAGAGAAAAGTGGCACAACCGTGTGAGAAGGCCTAAGCATTGGTGTTCAGTTTTAGTGCTGAATTTCTTTGGTTACTTTAAAACCACAAAACCAGATTATGCTTGTGTTATATATAGTTCGTTTCTATCCATCACCATAGATCATAGAAAACAAACACTAACATCTCAGAGTTTTTACCAAGATAGTACAGGTGACAGACATCTACATCTGGAATTTTAAAAACAAAAACACACAAAAGACAAAATAACCTCAATGAAATTGTTATTATTAGTTAAATAAGGAGCTGCTACACCAAGTGTAAAATGCTTGTGCTCTTTGGATATTATCCCAAAAAGCAACCGGATCTCTAAATACAAGAACACAAACATGCTCTGGTGGTGGATTTCTAATCCTACTGGAGATAGTCCAGATCATCTCCATTTAAGGTCATGCAAGCAGCAGCTGCACATTTTTGTTCCCAAGAAGAAAATGAAGCACGCCAAAGCCTCCAACATGTATTCCTTTTTTAAACCTTTTCTTTTCTAATGTCCCAAATTAGTTCATTTGTAGCTGAGCAACTTGTAATATATACACAGAAGAGTTAATCAGAAAAATGCAGTATGCATTTAAGTACAATTTGTGGATTTACTGCGCTAGTATGTCAACAGGAAGCATGTTAGATATTTTAAAAAGACTACACAGATAACTGAGCCCCCTCTTCCAGGTTTCATATGTCAGAAAAGGAGATTTCAGACTAAAGTTTAACAAAGTTCTATAGCAACAACTTGTCAAACCTAAGACCAATTTGTCTACAATCAGTATGATCGACACAAGATTCACAGTGGATATACTCATAGCATTCACTTAGTCTGAATCTGTACTTCTTATTCAGATATTTTAAATGGTTCTGGAGTAGAGAGTCCTAAAATGGTTTTAGAAATACACAGAAGAGATTCATTAAATTCCTTTGAAGGCACTGTTTAATTGTTTGTACTATTCTCTCATTTATTTCCTGGTCATAAATTAAACACAATAAAAAAAGTATCAGATTTTAATAAATTAGATGAAACTACTCGATTGAAGGCAATTTTTTCCTTCCCAACATGTCACAATACTATATATGAAAAAAAAAAATCCTTATGAAGTGTACACAGACACACCCCTAAAGTGGCAGTAACAGACCAATGCATCAAAAATCAAAGACAAGTTAAAAGTCTGGGAATGAATAAATGCAAAACACTGCTTTTGCTATGCCCATCTGTACAAGGGATGGACATAAATTACAGTTAATGGTATTCTGGGTGTTGTAGTTAAACACTAATGATTTTAACAGGGGACATTTCACTTTAAAGTGAGAAGTGAAGCAGCTGACTAAGTTAAAGAAAGTACTTTTGCTAAAAGTGGTACATTTTATCTCAAGTAAGAGAACAGCGCCATAATGTACCCATCAATGGTAAATGAACTTTTTGCAGGACTACATCCTGTGATAAATATAGGATGCTTTCTTTATAAAGGGCAAATACATTTCTCCTGAGATGTCAGAGATCCATAATACTAACATTGTCACAACAAGTGAATTATGAGGCCTTATGCACAAGTAAAGAATCACCACCATTCACTGAGGAGACATTCAATTAACTTTCAATTGAAACATGTAACCTTAAATTTTCTGTTCCTGATACTAAAGGGCAATAGAAAACTGCCAGATTTACTGTATTAGAATAAAAGCTTTAAGCTCTGGTTATGTTAAAGTTATTGTAACAGTTTCACAGGCCCTACCTTCACTTAACTAAGAGTAAAGTCTAAGAGAAGCTCATCATAACAGTGCAAAAAAAGTATTTTAATGCAAGCACTATATTTTTAAAAAATGCTGCAAGACAGAATCCTTCTCTCAGCACATTATTGTGTGTCTGGTTTGTGTTCTCTGTCTATTTAACCTGCACGGTTTATAGAGCAGGGAGCATATCTTCCTCTGTTTACTATAGTGCCAAATACAATATCAGTGCTTTCTTATAAAAAATGATCATATCTGACCACAATATAATTTGGTTTGAGGTAAAGGGCAAGAGAAGTAACTATTTTAAGCATATGCGGAGATTTAAAAGCCTCTCAGTTTATCTGGGGCAAAATCCTGCCCCACATCTAGTCTGTGGGTGTGGAGATCCTGAAATGAAGCACAAACTGCATCAGTTCCTCTGTGGTGGGGAAGGAAAGTTTTCGAGAACACAACAGGGATACTCATACTGTGACGTAAAGAGGATAGTGATCAGGTGTATAACACCACTAAAAGCTATACACACCACATACCTTAGTAAACACTTTTTAACAAACGAAAATGGTTCAAAGCTTGTGAAGATGCTCAAGACCCAGAAGGGGGGGAAAAAAAAAAAAAAAGATAATTTATATGAAAGCAAAATATTCAAAGGGGGATTTTTATTATGGGAAAATATTTGTCATTGTTGTAGCAAATTCACCATTTTGAAGAATTGTCTAGAGTTTTCTTAATTAATCACAATTTTATATAAGTTACTAAAAATACTACATATTTGCATGCAGCCTCATCTCCATGTTTCCAAACACTGGATCATATCACTGCTCAAGTTCTTCAGTTCATGGCCATGCAGACTGCTTTCCTCCTGTCCACTTTCTTAAAGAATGTGGCAAAAACAACAACAAAAAACCCATTTCCTCAGTGCTAACATTACTGCTATAATGAGTTTAGATGAGCAACTGCCCTGTATTAGAAGGCCGTGTTGTAACCAATCACAACTTCTGAATTCCTGCATGACATCATGAGCCCTGCCTCAAACTTTTGTTATTTTTTCCTCCACCTTCTTCAATTGTTCCTACAAACTTGGTGACAGACTCAGACAAGTTGCCAGAGAAGTCCAGACAAAGTTTCCCACAGCTCAGAACACATTATCTTATAACTCACTAATAATCATCAGCAGAGGTAAGGGATCTCTTCTTATTACAATTATATTTTAGTTTTCCAAACTAAACCACTCTATGCAAAATGAGCAGCCTGTATTATAAATGCTTATTTAAAATAAAACCCAACCCTTACAGCTGCTTTTTTTTTTTTTTTTTTTTTTTTTTTTTTTTTTTTTTTTTTTTTTTAAAGTGGAGAGATTTTAGGCATTACTGTTCCAAGCCAAAAAATAGTGCAATGGAAAAAATAAGGACGGTAGTTTTGTTTTTAAAAATCATCAGCTTCTTCTTTTTAATATGAAGCTATGTTTTCCTTGGGGAATGGATTAAGCAAACATCACCACCCCACCAGAAGTCTTAATGATTTCTCCCACACCTCGACTCAGGTTTTTGTTAGCAGTTGTTGCTTTTGTTTTAAAACAAACCAAATTTTTCTGTTCTCATTAAAAAGTAACTTTTAATTCAAGAGTTTACATTACTGTTTTTTGGTTTTGAGGTTTCTACTTTTAGTTTAGTTGCCCACTAGCAACCCAAATTAAGGAAAGTTCACCTTCCTAGTCTTAAATCAGAAAAACTGATTCACTTATAGCACATTTTTAGAAGAGACATTTTTTAAATTAACATATGATATATATATATAGACCCCTATTTTGATTATAAAGAAGGGTTAAAATGCTGATCTTTAATAATTTTGCAGTATTCAAATTTTAATGTAAAATACTATGTTTCAGTTCTGAAATCTTTTTAAGGCTTCTTTTTTTTTCTGATGGCCAATATAACCTGAACTTAAAACCTTTTTTATGATAATAACTTCTGAATCCATTAGTTTCATTGAAATACAATGGCACAAAAGATTCTTAATAACTAGCAGGAAAATACAACTAAGAGTCTCAATATCAAAAGTAATTTTTATAAATAAGATATCCTTCTCATCCATCATTCATAAAAGTGTTTGGGCACTGTACAAAACAAGAACAAAACAAAAACCACATGAAAAAGTTTTAGCTGTTTAAAATCTGACCCTATTTTATAAAGAAAATATAGAGCAAAAATACATTTTATTAATTAAAGAAAGGAAATGAATAAATAAAGGATATGTCTGGTAAACAGGAACATTTCTTTTTCACTTCTTACGTTTGTTTTTGTATTTTCATGTTAATTTATTTTGTTGAGAAATCCAAGGATCCATGCATGACTGCATGAGTCTAGGAATCTGATAAGAATTTTCCTAAATAAGAGGGAGAAATCTATTTTTTTTTTTTTTTAAGAAGAAGTCAGGAGACTACAAAACACAAAAATAGACTCAGTACATTCTAAACCTATATCTGTTCTCAGAGTAGCACTGTATTTCTATCGATATATACCTATATATGTATGTTTACATTTTAAGATAAGATCCATGAATACCAGAGTTCTACTGTATATTTTGTATTTAAAAGTATATTCTCCCAACACTCTTGGGAGTGCCTGCATGCAATTCCATTAACATTACTGAGAGTTGTGTGCAATGTATTCATCAAGAATTTACCCAGATATTTGTACTTGGACACATCATCCATGTGCAAACAGGGAACTGTTTGAACTCTATTCCTGAAACACTTTGATGTTCATATGGTGAACTTTGCAGCATATAACTAGTTGAAGACTATGTAATTCTGTTATAGGAGTTGTTTCCAGAAGGAAGCAGTAGTACTTCTCATTTTGCCTGCAAGAGGCATTTGTCTCGGGACATTTAGGTAACAACATTTTATTTTCCTTTTAAATGTTTTTATTTAAAACCAAATATTTTGTCTTTTCATACAAAGATAGGGATTTGCTCACACTAAGTACAGTAATTATATTTAAGAAACCAACAAGGAATTTGAGTTATTATACTGTGTATAACACACACACACACAGAACTATAGCACTTAGCTGCCCTGGTATTATTAGACTCTTTATAAAAATAGATCCATGGCTATATCAGGTGAGATTCTTGTCTGATGTAAATGAATATAGCTCCACTGGCTTCAATGGAGTTATGCTAATTTACATTAGGTTAGAATGTGGCTCATCATCTATACATAATCTCAATAGCTTGCACGGTTAATAACCCATTTTGTAGCTGTCCAAGAATGCTGAGTAACAACAAAAGCATTGGTGATATAAATGAAAAAAAAATGTTTTTAAACAGATGTAAAATATTACATTTGACTTACAGTTAACAGCAACGATCTGCCTTTTTGGTTTAATTGTCTGATTCCTTATTAATATTTAGAGACAGTTTTGTAAATACTGTACTGCAGAAGGGAAAATTAATGAGTGTTTCATAGATGTCTAGAGACAAATTATATCCTATGTAGTACATCATTGGTCTAAAATTCATTACTTTAGATGCTTTAGAACAGAAGAACGGCCCTACTGGGGCAGACCAAAGATCCATCTAGCCCAGTATCCTGTCTTCCGACAGTGGTCATTGCCAGGTGTCCCAGAGGGAATGAACAGAACAGGTAATCATCATCAAGTGATCCATCCTCTGTCGCTCATTCCCAGCTTCTGGCAAACAGAAGCTAGGGACACCATCCCTGTCCATCCTAGCTAATAGCCATTGATGGACCTATCCTCCATGAACTTATCTAGTTCTTTTTGAACCCTGTTATGGTCTTGACCCTCACAACATCCTCTGGCAAGGAGTTCCAATGGAACTTTATTTCTTTTTCTGCAGGAAAGCTATAGAACTTCCTCAATGTAGTATTACCGGTAAACATGAAGCTCATTAAGATGGGCCCATAATTACAGAGGGCAAAAATGTGCTTATTCCTGTACTTTTTAGAACATAAGTAAGTGACAAATGCACCAAACACATCCACATAGGAATAATCAAAACACCTTTGTTTTGCTTGTTTTTAATGGCATTTGATCAAACAATAAATGTATGCCAGTTGAGGACCGAGCTTTGGAAAGCAGGGTCAGGGATATATGTATGCTTTTGGGGATTTGTCCACAAATCAAATCACTTTTTACCCACTTGAACTCACCCCTTGCTCCATCCCAACACCATTCTTTTTAAGAAGATTATGAAAGAAAAAATTGTTTCTCATTGCTTTATCTTTGCCTCAATTCTATTTTCACTTACTTGCTTTCTATTTCTGTTATCTATTATTAGTACTACAGTAGCAATTAGAACCCCAATTGAGATTGGAGACCCATTGTACTAGATGCTGTACACGCACACATTAAGAGAGAGAGCTCCATTCCCAAAGATCTTATAGTCTAAACAGACAAGTCAAACAAACAAATTGGAAAAAGCAAGTGGTATTATTCCCCGGTTTTTAAGATTGGGAATTGATATATAGAGAGATTGAGTGACTTGCCCAAGATCACACAGGAAGTCTATGGCAGAGCTAGGAATTTAACTCAGATTTGAGTTAACCACAAAACCATTCTAATGGCTCAATATATATAGCAAGATCATTACTAATTTTATTAGATCATGATCGGTATTACCATACGAGACATGTTGGGTGACTTTCAGAAACAAGAATCTAAGCTATGTATGCACAACTAGAACTGTTGCAGTCACTGAGTGAGTAATTAGGCACATATTATATATCTATATCTGTTAGGTATTTATAGGACCCAATCAGTGTAATATTTAGACACTCTAGCCTATGTTGGTCCTCAGTAACCTATGATTTAGGAAGAGGCTCTATCTCATTGATTTTGCTGCCGTTCTTGTTTCAGAGGTAAAATAGCTATCAAACAGAATAAGTGGGGGGAGGGGAGAATTCCCTGTGCCCCTGAAAATGGCCAACGAAATAGCTGAACTTAGCCCATTTTATGACATCTTAACCACTGAATCCATTAGTCTGATTTAAATGCCATTGCACAAAAGATTCTTAATACCAGACAGGAAAATTCAGTTAAGATCCTCAAATATCATCATCAGAAGACTTATATATATATATATATATATATATCACACACACACACACACACACACACACACACTAAGTATCCCCCTCATCCATCATTAAATCAAAGTGTATGGACAACATTCAACAAAAAGCAACCCCAAGCAATTTTAAAATTTGGTCCTTGCTATTTCTGGCAAAATGGACTCCCTCTACCTTTCATGAACTGTTTTCTGTACTCCAGCTTCAGTTCATCTCTTCTTGTTTCTTTACACCCTTGTTTGCCCTTGTTTCTCTTTCCCTCTCTGTTCATGTTTGGCCCCTTCATCCCTTTGATCTCCTGCTCCATTTCTCCTTTCCTGTCCCCATACTCTATTTCTGTGTTCCATTTCCCCCTACCATGACATCTATTTTGGTCTAGTCTCCATCCTTCACACAGTTCTATCCATTCTCTTCCCCCAATTCAGCTTCCCTTGTTTGATGTTCAGGTTGCTCCCATCAGATGACTGTCCCACTCGTGGTGTGGAAACAACTTATTGTACCCACAGTGCTAGTCCTTTCCTACAGTGGGCTGCTTTGATCAGAACTCTTCTCTAGCTGAAACACTTGAATCAGAGAATAAGAAAGAATCCCAACCAGAGGCTCTACAATACAGTGGTACAGGAAAGCTCCTATGCTGTGGGTGGATATACAGACATTCAGCTAGTGACCAAAGAAACAGTGGACCATTGGCAAAGCATTGTTCCACTTCAGAAAATTGCTAGATGCCATTATGAGCCTCTCTAGCACCACACCACCTATGATCTAGTCCTGTTTTTTTATGAACACTTGTTTTATTGAACTAACTGGAGCATAAACAGTAGACAGAGGCCCTCTAGTGGTCTAATGAGTTAATGTTCCCTCTTCTTCCTAGACTGAAAAAAAGGAGACTTCAGAGGACATAGAAGGTTCTCAAAATTAAATGAATCAATACAGTCACTGGCTCAAAAAGGAGGTTACATATGCTGGGATTAGACATATTTTTAAGGAACTATAAATAGAGCAAAATCCTCCTGTCAGGGAGGGAAAACAACAGGAAAATCCTTTGCATTGCCTACAGATTTCTGTGCATGAGCAGAGTAGCAAATTGTACTCTCCAGCTTCCTCTTGGATCTGCACGTGGCACATCTAACTGATCAGGGGCTCCAGATCTACACCCCCACAGCTAATGTTCAGTGTTTAATCCTAGATACTTGACTAGCTCTTCTTTTGCTTTTGGTATGAGGTGGCGAGTTTCCACTGTCAAATACAAACCGTGACCTTTTAGTTCTTCCTCACCTGAATTTATAGAGAGCATCTCATCTCAACTAGGATTAATGGGATTTCATGTAGGAAGACCAGAGGAACAACAATTAATCCAAAAGTATGTTGTATGCTGGATTATTTTAGATAATAGCTTCCAAAAATATACATAAGCCACAGATCACACAACTGACTAGCATTTTTGCTCTGTGGTACTGACGGTCACTAAATTGTTCACTTTCAAAAGGAAGCAACTAGGATTACTGCTTTTTGTACCATGCTACCAAAATGAAATTACTGTGAAATACTTCATTATCTACTGTTCATTTCCTGTGCCTGTCTTACTATTCCATGCCACAAGTTAGTTTGGTTACATGGGAAGATAATAAATCATGCATGTCAAATCCCTTTTATTTCACTGATCTAACTACCACATTTAGTAAACATGACAGGAAATGGGTAAGCCGTGTCTAAAATCACGGTTTCCAATGGAGCCAAATTTATCCTGTGTGACCCAAGTGAAGTGAATATACTTATACCTGGAATGAATTTGGCCTACAGGTTTCAACTTTGTTCACTACGATTTTGAACTTTGTTCACATACCTCCTCTCAGTATGAAGGGTACCCAGAAACGGATAAAAATAACCACACATAATCACTACAATAATTACTTGTCAGCTAGGAGCCCAACAGTGACGATCTGTTGAACCACTGTAAGAGAACAACTGTAAAGTAACCTTAACATACGGACATGTACGATCAGCAATTTGGCCTTTTACCTAAACAATGAAGTGTGCACAATGTCTTCCAGAAGAATGAACACAGCCATTCAATGATGGAGCCAAAGATTTGTTTCTTGGGCAACGCAGGACAGTACTGCATCTGAACACAATAGTACTTGGCACATAAGATCTCAAATATAATTTGCCTTCCTGTTGAAGCTCCCACTTTTGGCTTCTGAGATACATTTTTGTGTGTGTGTGTGTGTGTGTGTGTGCGCAAGGTTTCATCATGGTGTTGACCTAAAATATTAGCACCAGTGATCTAAACTTGGGCATTTCTATGCTGTTATGATATACAGCAAGAATAGGCCTTCATTTTAATTAAATGATTCTTCATGATAGAATATTGGACTGTACCTTTTGACCATGTTTGTTATCCACACACAGCTGTGTTACTGAGTCTATTTCTCTTTATGCACACCGAGGGAAGATTAACAAGCAAGATATGCATTTGCTAGCTGAAACCAAGCACCTTATAGCGAAACACATATTGAAGTGTAGACATATAGATCTACATGTAGATCAGAAAACCTCTCCCAAACAGAGACATATTAGGTAGGGAGAAGACAAGAGCACTCAAAATTGCTTCTGAAACCCTGCTGGTGCTTCTTTAAGAACTTCACATAGGTCCTCTAGCACATCAACACTAATTACTGAATTCTGAACTCCCTACATCTTGTTCTTCCAGAGCATTAAAAATACGAATCCTTTAAACACAAAGGTACATATTTTCATTTATGCCACTATCTCACTTTAAGGATCCTTTACACAGCCAGAGTGTTATATGAGAATCAAGCCCAATGACTATTTAACTAACATTTCCTCTCTCCTTCCAAAGGTTTAAAAAAACAAAACAAAACAAAAAAAACCATTAACATTTTTTAATATGACTTACTAAATGATGGGCCTTCTCTGAATTGTGGTCGCCATTAAATAATGGCACAGCAGGTTGTGATGAAGTAATTCCCAGCAAATATGGTTGTCTGAAGTGTCAACCTTATGCACTGCTTGAACAAACTTGTTTGTGTCCGTATAAACACGTTAGTGCTTGAACTAGCATACCTCCTCTGGAACAGAATAAACATTTTAGTGTCTCTTAGCCCCTATTAGGCTAGGCGAATGGATAAACTTTCAGTCAAGTCATCTGAGAATTCTTGCACGTCTGTCTTGCTTTTACTGCACTTACACAAGAGAGACACAAACCAGACAAATAACTGAATAGAATATGCTGGGCAAGCACTTTAAGTGTTTATGCTATACCTGCTTTCATTTATCTAGAGTCAAACTAAGCTGAAAAATTAAAGTGGCAACTAAAAATAAGCTCTTGATGTCATATACTGTACTAAAATTGTAGAATCTAATTTTAGGAAAAGATGTCACCACATTCAACCAACCAAAGCTATTAATATATCTATGTGCAATCTGACTTTTAAGTCAGTTTTTGAAATGCTATAGCAGTCTTTGATGCTGAAAACAGATCCTGGTCACAGCATACAATAGTAGTGGATATGAACTAACAGCCCCTTATCCTCCTCTCCTGTGGACAGATTTTTGAGAAGAGGAAAAAAGATAGGTTGAAAGTTTTCATGAAGTTCACTGTATGATATTTCTTATGAATCCTTTTAGCCAGACTGGCAAGCAAATTTATGGATCTGGAGTCTGGATGTGTAATGGAAGCCTCCTTGTGCTGCTCTCCATCCACCCCCTTTTACAGTCAGGATGGTTCACACAGCAGTTATAATGCCATTTGTGGGATGGCCACTGCTAAGGATTGGTCTCCCCCCAGTCTATATGGATGCAGTGGCAGGAGTCTATATATCTTAAAATATAGCTGTTATCAATAAACTTATTTGGGTCATGAGCAGAGAAAGTATATCTGCCATATAGAGAGACAAGGCAGGTGAGGTAATATCTTTTATTGGACCAACTTCAGTTGGTGAGAGAGACAAGCTTTCAAGCTACACAGAGCCCTTCTTATACTCCCAGCATCACAGCAAAATGCATGGTGGAACCGATTGTTTAGCAAAGAGGTTCTCAAACTGGGGGTTGGGACCCCTCAGGGGGTTGTGAGGCTATTATGTGTGGGGTCGTGAGCTGTCAGCTTCCACCCAAACCTCACTTTGCCTCCAGCATTTATAATGGTGTTAAATATATTAAAAAGTGTTTTTAATTTATAAGGGGGGGGGGGTCGCACTCAGAAGCTTGCTATGTGAAAGGGGTCACCAGTACAAAAAAGTTTGAGAATCACTGTTTTAGCATAAGTAGTTAGCAGGCTTGAATGGTCCCTTACAATATCTGGTAACTGCTTATGCTAAACACTATGTCCCACCTGGCATTGTATTGTGACCTTGGGAGGACCTTTCCCAGAGCTGAAGAAGAGCTGTGTGCAGCTTCAAATCTTGTCTCTCTCACCAACAGAAGTTGGTCCAATAAAAGCGATTACCTCACCCACCTTGTCTCTGTAATATCCTTGGACCGACACGGCTACAGCTACACTGCATACATAAAGATATATGGAATATAAACATCGAGGGGCAAATTCTCCCCTAGGAGAAAAATTTATGGTGAATAAACGTATTTACCCAAGGGCAGCTTGAGGTTACCATCATGATCTTCAATTATTTGTATTCTTGTTGGGCCTAGCAGCCCCAGCCATGGATCGAGCCCTCGTTGTTCTGGGTTCTGAACAGACACCTAACAAAAGGACAGCCCCTTGCCCGGAAGAGCTTACAGCATGTTTTGGGGGCTTATTTTTTTAAAACTCAATATAACTTGCATTCCTGAAAGTACTGCATACCGATCTTCTCTTTATTTCTTATAAAAAGCACTTCAAGCAACACTGTATCTATCGCTAACAAATTAAAAAGTTATATTTTCCCATGCATTTATTGCAGCACCACCCCTCTGCCTTTGGGCATGACATTTTTAGTGCACGTTAGTACTTTCAGAGAAGAAAAGTCTCATGTCTCAGACTGCCCGTCCTTCAAGATCATTTTACTAGAAATTTCCCATATCAATGATACATATTAGACGCTGCCACAGCATTTGCTTACACATGAAATTCTTTCTACTTGGAAAGGAAATGCATTAGCAAGACTAGTTTTTCCACTCCCCCTCAAAAATGAGGCACTGAGAAGTTAAATGATTTGTCCAAGGTCACATAAGTAGTCAGTGACACAGCCAGAAAAAGAATCAGAATTTCCTGACTCCATGTCCTGTGGGTTTTATCCACAAGACCATCCTGCCTCCTAATTGGCCAGAACCAACTGCAACTGAAGACAGGGGGAGTCTTTCCATAGACTCTGAAGGAAATCAGATTAGGCCCTACTGGACTAATTCTGAGAAGTGCTGAACATCCACAAGTCCCATTTCATAAAGGGCCTCCACCTCAGTTTTGCAGGCACTCAATAACTCACTCATAAGGTTGCATGTGCAATTCCACTGTCTTATCTGTCTTGAAAATCATTTTTTTAAGTGAAAATAATGTGTAGCACACTGTGGAAAGTAACTTCACTTTTTCTTTCAGGCACTATTATAACATGAATACAATCTGCACATGCACTGATCAAAACACTTTACTTTTGTGTTTCTAACTCTTCACTTTCCTGCTTTCCCAGCTCCACACAGATTCTCTAAACCAAAATCTGAAGATAATAACCACTTTGCACTGTTCCTGACAACTTCTGTTTTTTACCTGCACTTCTTCTAAAACCTGACTTGTGCTCTCTGCTTTCCTGTTGCCATGGAGAAGGTCCAGCACATAACCCGCTCTGCCATGAGGAGAGCCTCAACTATTGAGGTGAACCCACAAACACGCCAAAAGCTCCAGGAGCTCTTTATAAATTTTTGTCTTATTTTAATATGCCTCTTGCTTATCTGTATCCTTGTGATGCTTCTCTGAAGTTCCACAGAATCTTTGCTTCCCATTGCACTATCCTATAAGAAAGCCACACCAAAAGGGAAAAAAAGAACTAAACAAGAAACTCCCAAGGCAAGAATACCCATGTGAGCAGGTCGAGCAGTTGGACTAAAACAGTCTCGTCAACCACTGCACCATTTTCGGACTAGCCATTGTAAACACATTAAAAAGCACTTCTGTACTGAACAGTGATTTAAAGCCTACTGGTACAAAGCTGTCCATGAGCTAACTTGTTTGTTCACCTTGCTAAGAGGCATCTCATGTGAATATGGTAAATTTGTGCCTTTTTCATGGAAGTAAGAAAGGGCATTAATTGTGTTACTCAATTAGTGTTTCAGCCAAGTGAACCACAATATTAAAAACAACCACCTCACTCTTTTGGGCCTGCATGCTTTAAAATTTCACTGTAAATCTTTTTAGATATTGGATATATGTATATTAATATCTCATAGAAGCTCAGATCAATCCAAAATGATGCACAGGCACATTTAGATTTGACTGTATTCCAGAAAATTTTCTGTTCCACTTCAAGATGCTACAACGTTACACTGTTAATTGAAATTATTCAACTTGCTCTAATAGTTTATGACTAGAATCCTGAAAAATGAAGTAGAAGCTATTTTAAAGAAACCTTTTCCCAGATATAAATTGTCTTTTTCTTTTTTCCTATTTAAGGAAGAGGTTTAGGACTGATTAATGGGAAGAAAAGTAATGCCAAAACTTCAATTCTGTCTGGTATCTTTTCACATGACTTGTGACTCAGTTTTAAAAAGATACGTCTATTGAAACAAACAGGCATTTGCAGAGAAAAAGTTTTAATTTGTTTTTCAAGGTATATCAAGAACCAACCACCCTGGTAAGAGAACAGTATTCACTCATTGCGTTCAATTGGCTAACTGGATGTTAAAAGGATGTTAGAAGCCAAAAGTGTGCCTTGAGTAGGCTTGCCAATTGTCTAATCACACAAACCCACACACCCCTGCCCCGCCCCTTCTCCGAGGCCCCGTCCCGCTCACTCCATTTCCCCACTCTCTCTGTCACTCGCTCTCCCCCACCCTCACTCACTTTCACTGGGCTGGGGCAGGGAGTTGGGATGTGGGAGGGGATGCAGGCTCTGGGCTGAGGCCGAGGGTTTTGGAGTGTGGAAGGGAGCTCCGGGATGAGCCTGGGGCAGGAGGTTGGGGTGCAGGGTGCAACCTCTGGGAGGGAGTTTGGGTGCAGGAAGGGGCTCAGGCATGTGGCAGGGGATGGGGGGGGGTGCAAGCTCCAGCCAGGCAGCGCTTACCTCGGGCAGCTCCCAGGCGGCGGCTCAGTGGGGCTAAGGCAGGCTCCCTGCTTGCCCTGGCCCCGCGCCACTCCCGAAAGTGTCCAGCATGTCCCTGTGGCCCCAGGGGAGGGCAGGGGTCTCCGCGCACTGCCCGCGCCCCGAGCGCCAACTCCACACCTCCCATTGGTCGTGAAGTGTGGCCAATGGGAGCGACAGGAGTGGAGCCTGCCTGAGCCCTGCTGCACCACCGACCGGGATCTGCCTGGAGGTAAACAAGGTCAAGGGGTCCGCACACTGGCCCCTCTGTGCGCTGCTCCCGGAAGTGGCCAGCACGTCCCTGCCGCCCCTCCACGCACTGCCTCTGCCTGCCGGCACCGCTCCCATTGGCCACCATTCCTGACCAATGGGAGCTGTGGAGTTGGAGCTCGGGGCATGGGCAGCACACAGAAACCCTTCCCGCCCCCGCAGGATCATGCCGGCCACTTCCAGGAGCAGCGTGGGGCCAGGGCAGGCAGGGAGCCTGCATTATCCCCCCTGTGCCGCCGGACTTTTAGCACCTAAAATCTCCCGGTTTGGCTTCTACTTTGGAGATAGAGCCTTGACCGGGAGACTCCCAGCCAAACCAGGAGGGTTGGCAACCCTAGCCTTGAGATCTCAAGATCCTTTTGTTTTACATAGCTTTAGCAACAGATTATTATCTACCACACTTTACATATACCATAATTTGCACTAAGAAATGCGATTTACTTTACATTAGGAAAAGTAAATACAGGAAATTCAGCATTTATCTATGTCAGACTTGCTTTTTTATTTGGTATAATAAAGTAAAAGGTTTGGGTTTTTTTATTCTGCAGTCAGGTCATTCCCATTATTCTAACCAAACTTACCCAAGCTGGATACAGTACAAGGAAAAATACTGCTTTTCTTTTAAAGATAACTCACTGCTTATCCAAACCCTTTCTATTTGAGGCAGCTCATCAAGATAGTATTTGAATCAAATTCACCTTCTAGTGAGATCAAGGTGGTCAGAAATAGGTCAGAAAAACACAACATAGGCCTGCTCCCAGCTAGCTGATGACTAGGGATGTGTTTCTAATGTGATTGTCTAGAACAGTGGTCGGCAACCTTTCAGAAGTGGTGTGCCGAGTCTTCATTTATTCACTCTAATTTACGGTCTCATGTGCCAGTAATACATTTTAACGTTTTTAGAAGGTCTCTTTTTATAAGTCTATAATATATAACTAAACTATTGTTGTATGTAAAGTAAATAAGGTTTTTAAAATGTTTAAGAAGCTTTATTTAAAATTAAATTAAAATGCAGAGCCCCCCGGACCGGTAGCCAGGACCCGGGCAGTGTGAGTGCCACTGAAAATCAGCTTGCGTGCCGCCTTCGGCACGCATGCCATAGGTTGCCTACCCCTGGTCTAGAATGAAAAGCTACCCATTTGTCATTATGTTGTATATTTTCTACCATGCCTTTTCCCAGGGAAGGTATATTTTGCAGGCATCAAGAACAAAATAAAGCAGTGGTTCTCAAAGTGGTCCATGGATCATGGCAGTCTATGGAGCTCTTGCTAATGGTCTGCAGAGAGCTGGCAGTTTATACAGTGCTAGCTCTTCTTGTTTCCAGCAGCCAAACACACAAATATTTTCCCAGTACCAGTTTTGCAAAGGGACATTGTGCGATTGCAAAGGAGGTGGCCCACACTATCCTGGATAGGAAGGGAAGCAGTTTGCACAATTACCTATTAATAAATAGGTCACACAATAAAAAAGTTTGAGAACTTCTGAATTAGAGAATTTATTGATCTCTCAAGAGCAAAACCTTCAATTGAAGTCTATTTGATTCAGCAAGACTTTGAAATACTGAAGTTAAATATCAGTTTCATACTGAAAGTCACTAGAAATTGACAAGGATTATTATGGATTAGATTACAGTTCCCCTCCCCACTTTTTGCCTATCTTTAAATACTGCTGGAATAGATCTTCTGAATAAAAGGGTGGAAAAACAAGAATCTAGGGTACCAGACAAAAAGCATTCATTTTTCAAGGGCTCTATTCTACTGTATTCTGTGTGTGCAACTTCTATTTGATGTCAAAGGGAGTTTCATGCAAACACCAAAGGAGAATAATTTGCCCCAGGAATTAAGGTTATAAGAGCACGGGTTGATGACAGTGAAAATATGAGAAGACAAAGAGAATGATGAACTAGCCAAATATTTGGTGTGGTGGAAGCCACCATACCCATATTAAGGTGATGCCCTACCTAGGTAAAGCAGATAGACACATAGGGCAGCAGAAGGATAGAATAACTACAGGCAATAAAAAGATAGCTACTATACATTGGCCAATTCAGGCACTGATGGATTTTACTATCCTTCAACTCGCTTTGTTTTGAAAGACAGTAGTTAATACTGCCTCTTGCATCTCAAGCACATATTAGAATCCTGAATGCATCATTGAAGACTGGTAAAATAATCCCTGTTTCAAAAGGTTTTTATAAATACTAAGTTCACATAAAACATGTGTGTCCCCTCAGCCTAGTCCCTCTGTTATAACCAAGCATGAATGCCTTATTTTTAGTGAAATTGTAAATGTAGTGGAGTACAGTTTGAAACAAATACCCTTATAATTCTTGTTTGCAAAAACTGTTACTGTTATTTAAAAATGGTTTATTGGAATGTCTAGGTAGAATTTCAATTAATTTAAAAACAAAGATGTGCTATCACATACAATTTAATGTGACTATAAGAATATTATTCATAATTACAATGTTTAAGTGATCTCATGATCTATTCCACATCTTTCAATCCTGCCCCACAAACTCATGAGGGGATTCTAGTAACTGTACAATAACTATTTAAAAGATCTGCCGGCAACATGTTGGGATGTCCCTGAAGAAGAAGTGGGAAAAGCCAAAGCTACAAGCCTTTTTAAATGTTTTTGGATATAGGGTTTCCAGTTTTAATTTGCCTTGGTAGGATTTAAATATATTAAAAATACCCAACATTTAACATTACTGAAAAAATTCATGAAAACTGTTAGGCCCTCAAGAGGAACCCATGCATTCTGGGAACTCCTTGTTGGAATAATAGGCTTCAGAGGAATCAGTTGTTTATATTAGAAGGCAAACCCTGGTACAAATAGAATTTTCCTCATACAAATGAAACTGAGTCAAAAAACCTTAAACAAGAAAAAATTAATTTAAGAAACTGGAAACACTATTAGCATTTTGCAACAATGTAAGTCTATAGTGTATACTATATGATTACATTTGTGTCTTGGGATTCTGTTGATATGAAGAAAACAGGATAACATTTCTATCATACTTTATACCGTAAATATCAGTGGAATCCAAAGATAAATAAAACCTTTTTGCAAATTTGGGTACATAATATTCTTTGTATAGTTATCTGATCTTTAAAATAAGCATTTTATTGTACTTCTATTTATTAAAAATCAACATTTGAAGATAAAATATTAATACAAAAGTAAAGAATGTTCAAATGCACTCCAGTTTAGAAAGAAGAGTTAATTTTAACTACTTATATAAAGTCATGTGAAAGAACTAAGCAATGTAAAGTTTTTTGATTCTTTGTAGTGCTGTTTGTTTTGACTAGTGCTATTTGCTTACTTTATTATGCCTAAATGGATTTTAAGTAGATTTAATTCACTCAGTGTATACAGGCAATCTAGTGAGTTTAAACTACACTACAGTTCACTCTTTTTATAAGAATAAATATTCCAAATATCTTAGGTGGCTTTGGATTTGGGAAGTTTTCATTTCTGTATTCAATCAATTGCCGTTGCTTTACTGCACTACCTAATTTGTTTCTAGTTTATCTTACATATAAATAAGGAGAAAAAAAAACTATAGCAATAATCTTGGATCAGGCCTTCAAAAAAAAAATGAAAATTCAAGATTCAGTAACTCCTAACTCTAGCATGAC